AAATAAAAAATTAAATAATGGAATCAAATAATATATCTTTTTTATAAATAAGAGAATATGATACTAGATTAACGTAAATGAAATGAAATTTAACGAGCTATTAACAATATCGTGTTTAGTTGCAAATAAGTTATTTGCTTATCATGCTCTTTGACATATATAAGGTTATCATAGGAAATTTTTACTAAAAGTTCAAGATTTTTAAATAAGTTATCGTAAATAAGAGATATGCCGTTTCACGTAACAACAGAACGGATACGAAGCGAATAATAATTAATAGATATATTGATCCGTTCTTGTTATCAGTTTCTCGTTTTAAAAATTGAAGATTACTTATCCCTTTGATCAAAAAATATTTTATAACAGTCGATATTATAAAGACCATATGGGCTCATATAATAAATGTATGCAAAACACACACAATTATAAGAACGAGTCACCCACACACTCTTTCTGCATTTGATTAAAGTAGATTACAATGTCATGGCCAATTTCTGTTTACTTATTCTTATTTTAACACGATCGCACTCTTGAGCTTCTTCCTTGATTTTTCGAATTGATATAGAATAGATAAGTATCACGGGAACAGGATATGGCATATGGACATAATTTTATTCATCACTATCATTGCTTGACAATTCATGAAAGAGTATAACTAATAAATTTCTTTCCACTTAAATTATTATTTCGTTTAATATCTTATCTCGAATGTAGATCCGAAACTATTTATATGCAAGTACATGTATACAGGAAATAATTCATGAATATATTTTCTTGTACTGATGAGTTTAATTCGTATAAAAAAATTCGATCGAGATATTTTCTTGTCTTTCATTTGTCGATTTAATATCAATTTTCAGAATTTTTACGTTGGCGATGATGTTTGCTTGAATGCAACCAGTTTACCTTCGAGGAAGTGAAATATTAATATTATCCTATTATAAGAACTCTGTTTTCGATATTATACTTGTGTACATCGAAACTCGAAGCAGGAAATAATCGAGATGATATTGAAATTGATAGAAATGATCTATGTAATATATGTATGCATATAAATATAAATAACAACGTTCATTAGTCTCGATATCATCTTTCTTACATAAACTTAAATATATATAAAATATTTTATCGTACGCATAATACTTTTAAAAAGTTGTTTAATTAAAACTTCCTTCAAAGACTACATTGTCGCAAATGTAATCACTTTTTATCGCGATTCGCCATCTGACTAACGTATACGTAATCTTTTCTTCTATTTCATCCATTAGAATTCCATTAAAGATCACGTAATAAAGAGTAATTACGAAAATTCCTATCGTTTGTCAAAAGATTATTAAAATTTATGACTCGTGGAAAATTTTGTGATTGTTATTTTGATCAAATGCTTTTGATTATGATTATATATAAGATAAAGAAGATTTATTTGTTATTTAAATTGTAGATTGAGCAAAAACTGGCACGACTACAATTTTCGACTACAATTGTGAAGAATATTCAAGATGTTTTTGAATCGGAAATGAATAAAGGAATTCATCAGCAACCATCGTCATTGCAGATGGAGAATACTTACGTTCCAGAACTTCTCGATGGCACAGGTTGTTAAAAATATTTTTTAATAAAAACTTTTACAATAAGTATAATATTCCGATACACGATCGATAGAAATTTTTACAATTTTACAAGTAAGATGTTAAATGTTAAATATTTATCAAAATATTAAATATAATATATTTAATAATATGATCTTTAAAATTGTAATTTTTAGTTTTATGTATCTGTTAAATAATTTGTTAAATAATATTAATTTTAAAATATTTTCAGAAAAGGGTTTATATTTGGCATTGGATCTTGGAGGAACGAATTTCCGAGTTCTTCTTTTAGAATTGGATCATGGTATACCTAAACGAGAAGAAGTGAAGAAATATCACATTAGCTCTGATTTGAGAGTTGGTTCGGGGATTCGTCTGTTTGATTACCTAGCGGAATGCGTTAGCGATTTCGTCATTGCACAGGGTCTTCAGGATGTAGAGCTTCCCCTTGGTAAATTGAAGTCAATGTACATAACGTTTAAGGTGTCTAAAGAATCACGTGTGAGACTTTTAATTATTAAATCTATACTTAAAAATGGTTGCTTGAAAATCATTCTTAATTTCATGATCTCAGAATAATTGCAATTGTCTTGAGTTCGAATAAAATTTTTATCTTATATATATCGCTCTTATATTTTCAAGCACTTTGTGATATAGATTTAAATCTTGAGTATTATGTTTTACAATAATTCTATGAATTCGAGTGGATGATATTTATTGTCAATTAATTATAAATTATTTTGATTTCTCATGCGATTGATAATTTATATAATATAATAGTATAATATATAAATAACATATAAATAATATTTTTCTTGTGGATATATAATTTATATCAATTTGTTTTTTTAGGATTTACATTCTCCTTTCCGATGATTCAACATTCTTTAGATATTGGAATACTAGTGACTTGGACTAAAACTTTCAATTGTCCCGATGTTGTTAACGAAGATGCTGTGAAATTACTGCGCGAAGCTTTGGATCGTCGAGGAGATACTAAAGTGAAAGTTGTAGCAATTTTGAACGATACTACAGGAACACTGGTACAAGGATCAACATTGGATCCTGATATTGCAATTGGACTTATATTAGGTACTGGTAGCAACGCTTGTTATATTGAACGAGCTGATAGAGTTGAGCACTGGGAGACTGAGAGACATGGAGAACGTCAAGTAACTTTTTTTAATATTTTTTTTTATACAAAATCAATATTTTTTCTTGAAGATTAAATTGTTCATTATATATTAAAGGTCATTATCGATATTGAATGGGGTGCATTTGGAGATAACGGTGTATTAGATTTTATCAAAACAGATTTTGATCGTGAAAATGATGCAAATTCGCTTATTGTGAATTCTTTTACGTGAGTACAAATTCAATTGAAAAATATAAAAGATAAGAATTTCTGATAATTTATTATACCATAACATTTCGAATTATCAGGTTTGAAAAGTATATTAGTGGAAAATATTTGGGCGAGATTGTAAGAGTGGTACTTGCAAAATTATACAAAGATGGCCTTCTATTCATAGGAGATCATACACCTGGATCTCTTTTGGTTCCCGGCAATCTTACCAGCGATTTAGTATCTGATATTGAACAGTACGTTTTTTCTAATTAGAAAATTTTATAATACATTTCTACCGTACAAATATTTAATATATTATTGAATACTGAAATTTAGAGACTCTGTAGATGGTGATTATAACAGTACAAAGGAAGTTTTAATGAAGTTTGGTATCATTCCGGATGAAGATGATGTGAAAATTGTACAATATGTTTGCGAAGTAGTTTCTAATCGCGCAGCTCTTCTTGTTTCAATATGTAAGTTCAGATAATAATGAAATTCGACTAATAAATAAATAAACAATATTAAATTATTAATTTATTGTTATTTATTTAGGCCTAGCAGTTTTGTTAAAACGAATTGACAGAAAACATGTCACAATCGCTGTAGATGGATCTCTATACAAGCATCATCCTCGACTAGAGACATGGATCAAACAGTACATTCCATTATTAGCTCCTGATCACAAAGTATACTACAATGAATATTTTTTCTATACTATTATTTTTTTATGTAATTTTATATTATTATTTTTTATTTAATTAAACATTAATTTATAGTTCAAAATGATTCATGCTGAGGATGGAAGTGGGAAAGGTGCTGCACTTGTTGCCGCAATTGCACAAAGACTTCAGAATAGATTAGATTAGTAGTAACAGAAAATTTCAAGTACGCTGGCGTATGTTTCTTGTTAGTTGCGTAAATGGTTTGCACCAGATCTCTAGTTAAGCAATTGTTCAGAGTATAGTATAATTTTAAATAATGTACAGTCACATTCTCTATGTTAATAACATCATCATTGTCATTTTCAATCTTCCATATTCAAAGAGTTTTTACATATATTTTTATTCATATTTTTAAAATTATTGCATATATAAATTGTTAGTGAAAATATTCTAATTGAAAGTATTTCATTAGTCACTTTGAATCATATAGTGATATTTAAGAAGAAAGAGATAAATTTATAAATTGTATTTTTATGAAAAAATCTTTAGAAAATATAATTCCTAAAAGGAATTGATGTTGATTTTATCATGCGTTTTTGAATGTTTATATATTTTGCTTAAAATGTTACAATTTTACAACTTTTTTTGGAAATCATATCCTGAATACTTAGATTCGAATATTAGAAATCACTCTTCTTACATTGCTCATATATTCTAATATTCATGTTATTATTAATTAAATAGTTCTTTTTTATTATTGATATATAAGATTAATTTGATCTTACTTATTGAAAATTTTTCTCTTAGAAAAAGAAAATATATTTCATAAATTGATATTTAAAAGACAGAATTTAATAACTTTTATAGGAAGTATTACTTTTAGTCAATGAATTATTATAAAACTTATATAATTTAAAAGTGTTAAAAATGGGTCATTTATTGTTAGTACATTATAATAAAATGTGATATGTATGAGTGTAATTGTATATTGTTTAAAAGAAGATATATTCACAATTAATGTTGTAAAAGTGAATATATCTCAAGTATTATATTCACGTTAAGAGCGAAAGAATCGTGATATGGATCATTAAATAAAAGCATTGAAATAAAAAGACAGGAAAAAGTACAAAATAAGAAAAAAATGGCGTAAGCATTCGAGAAAAAATGTTTGTATAATACGTTGTTATATCTTGTAAATGATTGTGAAGATATTCGGTTTTTTTGTACTAGCGGAACGAGATTATTATAATAAAATTTGAAATGAAAATCAAGAAATTGTACATCTATTTTTATTATGATGCTTTAATTTTGAAAGTAACTGGAACTTTGAATATTTGAAATTATACCGGAAGTCAAATGAATTATATATTTATAGTAATATTTAAAACGTTTGAAGAAAACATTAAAAATATTAAAATGAAATTTTATATTCACTGATTTTCATCTTTTATTAAATAATAAATAAAATCGCTATAGATACATTGTTACTACAAGACTTGCTATAATTTAGTCTATTGATCTTGTTGCTAAGTGATCCAAGCGCGGTTCTTTCAAATTACATATTGTTTCATGGCAGTGACATCAGATGGCGACACGTATGCGGTCGTCAAAAAGTGACAGCTCGAACTGTCAGCGGTATGCATACCGCCGCGTTTCTGCTGCAAATAAGCACTTTATAACGGATCGAAACGACGGCTAAACCTTTTCGTGAAGCCTTCCGCTGTTTTAAAAGTCGAAACGATTCATGAAAGAAAGATTAACGGTGTAAAACGTGAGACAGTGCGCGAAACGGTGGGTGTGCACGCAAAAGAGAACGGCTTGCCGGCTCGGCCAGTCTACTGGAAGATTCCATTGTGAGTGGGCTTTCAAAAAGTTTTATCTCCAAAAATCCAGTGTTTTCGTGCGTTTCATCGTTCGCCTATAGATGAAAGTTGAATGTCAGGTATTTTAGCTTTATCTTTATCTGCAGGACTTGCGGACATCAAGGATTAATTGTTTTTCATGAAATACAGCTTATTAGAAAGGTTGAGGTTACAGCGGCCGCTGGGTTCAGCTGGGCTCTCAGCTGATGAACGAACGCACCGACCGGTTTACCGTGTTTCTTTTAAAAATTATAATTTTTTTCCTTTACTTTCATTTTTCGTTTAAATTATCTCTTTCTAACGCGATATCTCCTCAAGATTTTTACTTTACTTAAATACGTAGTTTTCCTATAATACCGAAAGGTGCTCCGATCCTATTCTGTAACCTCTTTTACCTTTAATTGTGACAGTCCGCGAATGTCTTTTATTTATTTCAATTGTTTATTCGATTTCGATTTTAATATACAAATTGTCAATGAAACAAAAATTTTTAGTTATCAACTATATTTTGAATATATTAATAGATATTTCATCAATTTGATTTTAAAGATGGAATATATATATATATATATATATATATATATATATATGTAAATGTTTCTGTATATTTTTTTTTTAACTGTAGTTTGAAATCGGGAGTGGTGAATGAAAGATTCGGTAAACACAAACAAATCGAATGTTTGAGTAATTAAGTGATAAAAGTCGTTTGAAGGAATCAGGATAATCGTACGGTTCGTCGAATTTGAAATTTCTCGGATCTAAAGTGTGATTGATATCGATAGAAACGTTTATATGATGTTTCTAAATGGAAACACGTTTCCCATGCAGTGGTAAAGACGAATGTCGTTGAACTGTCAGTCGGTCGGGTACTTTCGATCACCTGTAAAGCAACCAATGACCGCGTTTTTGTAAAACGTCGTTGTCTCTTGATTGAAAGAAACTCGCCGGTATATCGATGTGTGTGTTTTTCATTCGAAAAAAGAAATGAAGAAACGTCAGTGTGATTGCTGAATCTATAAAAATGCGTTAAATCACCAATGAAAACGACGCGCGGCATGACACCGTTATTGCTTGCAAATTGACTCGGTTTTCCGTGAAGCTCCGTCGAGGTCACCGCGCCCGGCTGCAGCTGAGCTCCCAGCTGACGAATGGAGGCTGCGACCGGTTCGCCATGTTCCTTCTTTTTTTTTTAAAGGCCACCTCCTTCTTTTTCCCTTTAAATCGCCTTTCACGTGCTCCGCGACCCTCCTTGCTGTTCTCTCTTCTCCTCCTTCACCTCCTCTTCCTCCTTCTCCCTCTCCTTCATCGCCTCCTCTCCTGGCTTCTTCTGCACCGTTTCCTCCTAGAAAATCGTATTGTTCGTGGTGTACGTCGTGCGCACCCGAGAATGCTCGACTTCGCCGAACCAGTTCCGAACCGTTTCTTTTGTGCGTCTCTTCTTCGTGGCACATTCAACCCGCGCGCTCTCCGCGGCACCACGATACTGGCTTGTGTTTCAAGGTGACAACGATACGGTGCAACGCGCGCGATTTTTCGAGGGTGTTTTTTCTTCTTAAAATCATATTTCGTGTGGATCGTGTGATCTAAACATTGCTGCGAAGAATAATCAATCGATGTCGTTCGCACGAACGAATTCGATTCAGCGAATTACACAGATCGATGTCAATCGTTCAAAAATAGTGTTTTCTTTTTGATACTTGAGATAATAATGTGTAGTGTTTCTCGTTCTTTTTCATACAGTTCTAAATTTCGTCGTGCATCGAAGTAAGTTTCTTTCCTATATAGAATATTACGGGATATAAAGTGATTGCAATGAATTATTCGCGAAGAAAGTTTCACACAAGCTTGGAATTGGAATTCTTTCTAGAATAAAAAAAAAAAAAAAGAAAAAAAAGAAAAAAGGAAAACGGGGGAAAAAGGAAAAAAGTTCACGTTTACAATTTGCAAATGTTCATTCGCGTTTAACATGCAAGCTATAGAAGGCCATAATTTATCGGTTGGCGCGCGTGGACCTTCCTCGTATATAATATGCATCGCTATTTAAAAGCAATCGGGTCTCGCGTGTTCGGTACGCAGCGTGAGTCACCTGGCCTACGGATAGGGCTTCGCTATTTCTTATTGTGCATGATTGGCTAATGAACCATGTGCGACTGTTACCGTTTTTTTATCGACGAATTCTTGTCTCATTGTAATAAAATTCTCATTTATATATAGCGTGGCGGGGTTACAAGATCGTACGGTATCGTGTTTATCGTTTTAAACCAATTGGACGACGAGCCGGTTAATTGCGAACGTAGTAGGTCTGATAATGCAAAGCCCGTGGAACAATGCGATGATAATTGGTGGTAAACTGTAATGTAATTATGCGATATATCCTGTGCATTGTTCAAAATAATTAAAGGATCAAATAATACCAAATAATGAATATTCCCATCCAATTCGTTTATCTCTGCTATATTTAATTCATTCTACAAAATCATTCATCATTTGTTTTCAAAAATTTCATTTGGATTCCTTCTTATCTCTTATAAATAAAAGAATATTATGTTATGAAAATATTGCCACAATTCTAGAAACGATTGTTCATTGTGAAAGTATCGAAAAGCATCGGTACGACTGGTGAAATTGCAGTTCTCTATAAATTTAATGATTCGAAATTGTAACCTTGCCATTGTAGACACGCGATTCGGCATCGCATTGTCGCATTCTTGTCGCTTTTCATGCAACCGGTACGACTATTCCCTTGGAAATTATAATATTTTTGGAAATTTAATATTTTTTCAATGAACATTTGCTCAAATTCAATCGATCGAATTTATCGATTCAAGGCAAATGGTCACGCTATCGCTATTTAGTGACGCAGAGAATCGTGGAAAAAAGTGAATAGCAAAGAGAGAGAAAAAGAGAGAGAGAGAGAGAGAGAGCAAGATGGAATTGTTCTTCGAGTTGGGATTCGAGACAATACGCTCGTCCATTTTATTCGCGAGGGATCTATTCGCGAGAAAGTTTTTGTCGTTCGTAGTCGTCTTTATTTTTACCTTTGTGCACGGAACGTTGATACAGACGTGTATAACCTGATTGCAAGTTTTTCTATTTCTCGATTAATCGAATGCGAATCGATTCAATCTCGAATCCTTTCGATCGGACGGTTAATCGATTTCTAGTTCGATATTACCGATAGAGGGAAACTCGTGTTCATTCGAGAACTGGTATCGATCGTGTTATCCGTTATCAAGCTCGCGGACCCACGAAGCGATATCGATTGCGCTTTTCGAATAGTGAAACGCGATTATTCAATCTCGAATGACATACTATTGCGCGAACGCCTCTTGTGCGCCTCGCTGTCTGCGAGTGGCCGTACTAACTCCAGTGTTTCTCAATTCAAGGCAACGTTCTCGCGTTCCTCGTTGCTAAATTATTACGGTCGGGTTAAGCCTTTGAGCTTCCATCATTCTCGACGTAGTTGAGATTCGATATCACGTGTAGCCGGCAACGAGATTTATTCACGCTCGCGATCGTTGCTTCGAAAGAATTTTTTTTATCGTTCAATTCAGTTCGATTTATAAAATCTTTAAGAACTTGTTTTTTTTATTTGTGAAAATTTGTTTTACATAATGATATAATGAAGTTATTCGAGCGACAAAATGGAAGTATTGCGATACGATAACGAGTAATTTCGGAAGAAATAGATTTTAAAAATTTTACGAAATATCTTGTGCATGAACTAATCAATTTTTCAAATTGATCTATATGATATTTTTCTGTTTTCTTCGAATTCCGAGAAATCAATTTAACAGAATTCCTGAATATTTCTTTCCATTGGATCGTAGATAAAGTTTCGAATCAGAGGTTAGGTTAGGTTTCGAATCGAGTAAATCGTCGATCCTTTTGTAAGTACGGTCCCAGGTGACGTTAAAGTCGTGTCAAGTGGAGATCGGATTTTGCTCGATCGTTGGAGTTAGGCTTCAGGGACATTCGACGGATTTTCGATAAATAAAATTTATGGTCACTCGATTTGTTCTTGCTCGTACAAACTGATGATGCACACGAGAGGATATCATCGTGATATAACCGCGATTATTCTCGGTTGTAACGCGAATAAAACCCGTTCCAGCCGAATTCATCTCGTTCGAGTTCCTCTGATAAAGGCTATTTTTCACTGGTCGGAAGCTCGCCACGCTCGTTTCCGATTCCTGTCCACTCCTTGGATATTTCGTTCCGTTCGAACGATGATCGGTCTCGCGTCTTTGAACGCGAAAACGCGTTCCGTTCGATGCTTTCGTAAAGCCTAAAGAAGGATCTATATCGTTCGGCTCATTTGATTCTCTCCTCTCCCGCTGAGAACACGTGGATGCGAATTACGTAGGGACCTCGATTAACTGGCTTAATCGAAATCGAGGCAGCCAAGGATCGCGAAATTACCTGACTAAAATCTGACGAGAATTATTTAAATTGTTATCTGATTTCTCTCTCTCTCTCTCTCTCTCTC